GGCCATCCTTAGGGTGTAACGGTGATATAATAATATGTTTTTTTAAATCGGATAAAATTATGACCTCTATAGGGTCCACAAGCTAAAAACGCGATTTTTCGTACAATCAGGGGCCATAATTCGGGAAGTTACGGTCTGATATGCGCGAATATCGAAAGGAACCGAGATCTTTGGGTTATAAACTTACATTTCAGTTTCAACAAAATCGGATAAAAATTGTGACCTCTATTGGGTCCACAAGCTAAAAATGTGATTTTTCGTACAAACAGGGGCCATAATCCATTAAGTTTCGATCCGATACATGCCAATATCGAAAGCAGCTGAGATCTTTTGGAGATAAACCTATATTTTAGGTTTCGTCAAAATCGGATAAGAATTGTGACCTGTAGAGTGTCCACAAACAAAGTGTGGACGTCTGGACGTTCGGATGGACAGGGGCGACGACAATATACGTCCACATGAAAATGTGGGCGTATAAAAATGGATTTGTCGAAAACTCTGTATTTCTTGGTGACTGTCTTAGTGGAGTACTAGTTATAAATGGATTGAGACTGTGTTGTGTTTCCATGTGACTCTGACCATTTTGAAATTTAACATTGTGTGTTTCCAATGTTGTTGTTTGGTTAAGAGTTGAAATCCTGACTAATAACCCACTGGCCTACATGTACATCTGAGGTATGACAGCTTTCTGGTACTGACGGTGGTTTGCGGTGATCATGTAAACATTGTTCTTTGTTGAGAATATCTTTATGTATGTCAGCCTCTAGATTAGCCATTTCCACAGCCTGCCAAGCCTTTTCCTTTGCACGGTCAGCCTTGAGGTCGGCTGCCTTTCTGGCTAACTCAGCATTTTTCAGGGTATGTTCTGCTTTTAATCGTGCCATCTCGGCTTTAACTTTCAGAGAATGGCTACTGTGGCTTTCACTACGTGTGTGGTATGAAGGAGTACTAGGCCTACTTGATGTCTTATCACTGCCTTGAATTGATAATACTGACGGCAACAACAAGTGACATTTTGAGTTATGACCTGACATTTTACGTTTGTATGTGTAAAAACGGTAATAGTAAACGTAAACAGTAACAGTAACAAGCGAGTATCCCTGCTGTATCTGAAAGTCGAGAAAAACTTTCTATTTGTGAGAGAAAAGCGAGATTTCAAGACATAATATAGTTTAATTTTGTTTAAATTAGTTCTGCACTACAATCAGTACACAGTTTACAAATTTTTAGAGAAATACACTAATTTTAATTATGGATATGAAAAACACTGAGCATAATATTGCAGGTATTGTCACTGGCATAAATACATACTGTGTGTCCTTCACATCATAATTGTCCTTGTTTTTCTTGGTGAATTCGTGTAGGGAAGTTTTACTTTACTGTTCAATTCAGTTTGTTTATAATTTTGACACAAGGAAGTTTTCTAGAAATTGCACCAGAAGTTGTAATGCTAAAAAGGAGATAAACTGTGGATAACTTGAGGATCAAGTCCACAGTGATAATAAATAAAGCTACAAGTCCCTAAAGAGAGTAAACACAAAAATATTCCTTATACCCTAAGGATGTTTCCTATTGTTTTTGGTGCATGCCCAACCCTCAGGGTCAGAGCCACACCCATTTTTTCTTTGTGTGTCTGTGTGTTTTGCCTACAAGCTGCAATTCTTAATGGATCGTCTTTTCATATATATTCCTTATACCCAAAGAATGACTGTTATTATTTTGTGTCCATGCCAGAACCCCCTGGGGAAAACACACCACCAGATTTTTGTATTATCGTCCACAGGCTGCAATTCTGAACTTTCAAAGGACGGTAACTATTGATTTTGGTGCATGCCTGACCCCTGTCACGTTCCAGCTGTCTAGTCGTTCGGATGGGACGAAAAACCAAGGTCCCGTGTACACATTGGCGTGCATGTAAAAGATCCCTTGGCAGTTGGAATTCGATATAAGAGTAGGCCGTAGCGTCGCTGGCCGGGCAAAATTTCCCTCATAGCACACTGAATGGCGTATGCCCGTCTTCATTAGCCCCGTTTAGGAGCAAAACAGTAGGACGTGGCAAAAAAATTTTCACCGGTTTTTAAAGCAAAACTAATTTGAAAGAATACTCCCTGGATCCCAAGAGTCTTTATTCTTATTCTATGTTAAGAGCTGATATAAAGTGATAAATATGAGGGGTCTAGGTCTTTCAGATATAATTTTAATCTGATCGTCAAAACCCAATATTTCAATTCGTGAACGTATTAACCATTTTGTAGGCAAAATAAAATTAGAACAATAAAATGTACATCCAAAATGATTACATGTTTGTAATCTACGCAAAGAGTCACTTTAAATAGACATGTTTGAGGAGTAGAGGTCATTTAGAAGTTATTTTAAAATCAATGTGAAAAGTCAACAATTTTGATGAAACCCATTAAAACATTCATCACCGCACAGATTTCAAGTGCCAATTAAAAATATAAGCCATCAAATACACAAGATGAACTTTAATGTATGTCCCACATGGCCAAAATTGAAAGTGAAACTGGGTATATTTTGGACCTTTTCAGTGTGCATTGAATTTCGTGACTGAATATTAGGAAAAGTATATATCCGATTTTTTGTAAATTGATAAAAAACTAACCGACACCAACTATGCCAATTTTTGAGTTTGGTATTAAAGATACATTATGGGAGATAAGATAACGAGATGGCAGTTCTCGCTATAATAGTTAAAAACTAGATAGTGTAAAGGTAATTTGCTGAAAATTTCAGTCAAATTGATCCACTATGAGCCGAGAAAGAAGCGGGTGAAATTTTGGCATAGTCTCAGTCATCATTACTAAAATCATTAATATAAACAGCTTAGTCTCGATTTTCCGCTTTTTTTTATTTAATTATCAACGGCCGTTAGCGGCATATAGGAATCTAATCCAGCCAACATTGAAGGCTGGCCTTGACATCGAGAGTTTATTACACGGTAACATGCATAGTGGGTAGAACCTATCTCTAAGTATTGACTAACTGGCCTCTGCGTTAGAATATCCTTCAAAAGAGTAGAAATGATTAATTGTGGTTACTATTCATGGAAACTCGTGAGAAATATATTTGGTTGTCAGTAGTCGCTTAAACCCGTCAGTATTTGTACCGTACGTCAGTATTCCTATAAATGTTCAGTAATAATCATAAGGTGAGTATTTAAGTCAATTGGTTAGTATTCATTACTTGTGTCAGTATGTAAAATTAACGTGAGTAATTAAACAAACGTGAGTTAAGACGACCATATCACTAGTCAGGCACGTGCGGGAGAAATTGACAAAAGCGTGACTAATTAAGAAACCGTCACTATTTGAACTCTGGGTCACTATCAGAGTCAAACCGCCAGTTATCTTTGATGTGCGTCAGTAACTGGACCCAACGCCAATAGAGCGTGAAATCGTCGCTACATTCTGAATAAATTATTAATTAATTATTTACTAATATTCTCGAATCGGGAAATGGTTTTAAACAATAACGGATGGCAGTCAATAATGGGAATATTTGTCGGCGATTTTGATTACCGCCGTAGTCTGCAGAATACGGCGCAATGTGTAGTGTTATTTAATTTACAATTGATATTTATTCTCGTTATATAACATGCGGATTGGCACATGTTTTGAGACTTGCGGCACTTTTGATATCTGTATGGATTAAATTTGGAAACACTGTATGGATTAAATTCGGAATCATTGTATGGATTAAATTCGGAATCATTGTATGGATTAAATTTGGAATCACAACTAATGGTTAAAAAAAGATCAACACAAATCTGTTTTCACTAATTTTATTGAAACAGATAATATGATAGCAGATAACAGAAATAATGAATTTCATATACGTACATACAAGCTGAAATTCTGATCACTGAACAATCGTGTAAATATCTATATACATTATTATTGGTATCTTCAGATTTGCAAGATATTACAAACCAATTCCTGTTTTTAAAAAAAACAACCCATATAATTCAAACGTCAACCCGACCATTTCAAGAATAATTGTCTGTGTCAAGGCAACTGCAGTTCGATTGCTTTATCTAAAAAGATAACTGATATTTAACTGTACAATTGACTTAGCTATTCAGGGTTCATATTGGAAATATTTTGGTGTCAAGGCAACTGGAGTTCGGTTGTTTTATATTAAACTATAAAATTGACTGAGCTATATCCGTTTGAGGTTGTTTGAGGAAAAGCAAGTTAAAGATATCGTTTTGTTCAAAAAAAAAAATCACACAGCAACCACGCCATTAGTAATGTAGGTCTTGTATATTAAACTTTTATGGAAATAAATTTTTTTAATCTCACCACTTAATTAGCACCTTGGTGTTATATCAGGAGATTAAGAATGTTGATTGAGTAATCGAGTTTAGCTTCTTGAATATCAAAGAAGCCGTCACAGCTAAACGTATATTATGTGACCTTCGTAACATGACTCAATTAAAATAAGGTTTTGTGTGTACGATAGGTCTACTTTTATTTACAGGTACCGGAATGGTGTCAGAATCCGAACCCCAGATAGGGTAATGAACGTAGCCATGATACCATAATGGGCCGCGCCGGGTGTCTGGACCGAACATTTTTACGTATTGTATGGGTTTTAAAACTCGTTTGTATTCTTTAAAATTGGGATTATCGAACTAGAGATTCACGGCTTCACAACGATGCCAATTATTACTTAAGGAGACTGATCGGTCGGCCCTCTGCATTATCTATTTTTGAAATATAGTTAGAATGGTCAGCTCTTTATCTAAATCTTAGTATTGAACATGCTTTATGCTTCAATATTCCAGACCCACTGGTTGATGGCTATATCACCGGCGTGTTTGGGGGGCTATTCTGGTTCGAATATGCACCCAGGTGATACATATGTACATATGTAATATTTCATACATATAGATGAGCTAGGATTGGGGGTGTAAAGCTCATTACTGGAGAAGTATTCTGGTGAAGGTGGTCACTGTTCATTAAAAGTCCAATTCCAAATTCATTTCAATATTACTTTATATACAGTTTTAAAAATACATTATTTACAAATTATATACAAGGCATTCGATCTCCTTGTCTGTGTGTCTCTAATTTCATCTGCCCTCTTGTCTGTGTGTAGAGGTCTTTTAAAGTAACTAATTTGTATACAGACAAAAGGACAATGATTTCAACAAATCAAATTAAAGATAAAAATATTGTAACACATCAAATGAAAAGAAGTTAAATAAATATATAAATTTCATTGGTTGAAAGTTTCATAGTGAAATATAATTTATAGGATCTAATAAGCTTTAAGCCATAAAGAATTAAAAAGCATTGACACTTGATTGGCATTGATCAGACTGCATTGTTAACTGTATAAATCTTTGCTCAAGGTTTCTCTTAATAAGCCTACTAGCATCCAAAGATTATAAAACAGTCAAAGCCAATCATGCTTTTAAGCAATTACTTTTTATAGACTTTAAATCAAAATATTAACACTTAAAGTAAAGAAAGACCAAATGATAACCTTACTATTAGCTATATTGTCTATATACTTTAAGAAATAAATTCTGTATATCCTTAAAATAAAATTTGAAAAAGAAGTAGAATTTAGTATCACTATTCGGTGATAAATGCCCCCGTCCTGAAAAATTCATACGTCCTCGCATGATATATATACACAATATACTTGATGAAATTATTAATAATTATATAAAAGAAAAACATATGCTTATAATTAAATGTTTGTATAAAATTTTGTATCACAATATCTTGAGTGAATTATGCTGTTATATGATTATACAGGCTAAAGTCACTTAGGTAATCCTTTGTTGTCGCCTTATGTATAATACATTGTTGTCACATACATAAATATCACTTGCAATAATTATGAAAAAAAAAGTGTTTTAGGAATGTAAAATTCCAAATGCAATGATTTTCAGTCAGAAATGGAACTGAATATAAAGATAAATGAAATTTAAAAAGTTAATGGTAATTAAGAGTCACATAATAACATATAAGCACTATGATGAAGAAAGTTTCTGCACTTTTTAAAGTCTGCACACCGGAATATTTATTATTTGTGGAAATAATTGATCGTTTCAAATGCAGAACACATACACATTAGATATTACCATTATATAAACATAACTATAATGATTCCACCGCACTTATATACACACAAATTTAATCAGGAACACACTTTCAATCTTTAGCAATTTCTGGAACTTAATTTACTGGATCAGGGATTACGATTGTAAGGTTCACCACATTCATCTTATTGATCTAGCACATTTTGTTGTCTGGATACCTTGAAGTTTATCTGGTGATGAACCATGTGCTGGTACTTCTTCTTCTTGACATTGGAGAAATCTCACTTGGTTTGACAAAGTCAACCTTGTCCAGGATTGAAGATATCAGCTTCAAGCTTCTTTGGTCCAGTCTGTTATCAGAGATGTTGCTCAACAAGATTAAACCTGAAATATCTCTCGACCATCTCATATAATAACATTCAATGTGTGACAATAAATCAATTATATTAAATAATTTTGAATCAAAAGAATGTGGTCATTCCCTGTACTCAACCTGACTAAAATGTAATACCAGTCTCACTTTCCGTTCCAAATATAAACGTGTATGTCTTCAACACTGTCAAATTGTCAAGACTGTGCAAAGGCTCAGAAGATACTCTATTCTTTTATTCCTTATTTCATATAGTATTATTCAATATTTCGGTTATTACTATGATCATTTCTTATTCTTATATGATCATTTCTTATTCTTATATGATCATTTCTTATATCATGAACATTTCTTATTCTTATTTTATGATCATTTCTTATATGATCTAATTTATTTTCCTATTCATTCTCATATATTATTTATCATGTAATATATTGTCACATGTTATCAATTCTTTTATTTAATTTCATGTTATAATTATTAATCAAAAAATAATTGGGGGGTATATTTCACGAAATGTGAAAAAAGAAACCAATTTATATTTATATATATACATATCATTCAATATAATAATCATATTCAGAACTTCTATTTCCTATTAGATGAAAAACATAATAGTTTTGCTATTATCTTATGTTTACAATTTAATTACGTAAAAGAACTAGGTCTATGTGGTTCAATCAAACTTTCTTAAAGTTTGAAAAATGCTTTGCATACTGATCGTCACCAATATGGCACAGCGTTGGAATGTCAGTCAAAAATGGATGGCCAGTCCACCTTGCCTAACAAACCTGATTATAGCAATTAACAATAATTTAAAACGTTGGGCCTACTCTTGTCCCCGGTCCCACAGGGGAACGTATTCACTATATCTATCTGTCATAATTACATGAGTTTTCTGTATATATGGTAACATTTACATCCTTTTTTTCCTCTTTTTAAAATTTCTGCCCATGAACCTATATACAACTGTCTTGTTTTTGATAAACGTAAAATATATCGCAAAGAATATCACTTTGAATTTCCTAATTTGAAACATGGAAGAAAATAGCAGTGTTGAAATATTTACATATTTTTGAACAGTGCTTAAGAATAGACTTACCGAAGCCTTTAAATTATTATTTATATACATATTATTATTACTATTAGTTATAACATTAAAATAAATTGGCATACAAAATGAGTTTAAGAACTCCCTATACCTTACATCATTAATTATTAAGTTTTTATTTACAATGGGTTTTTTAGGATTTCTGACTTTAGGTACTTTTGTGGTGTCTTTGGAAACTACTGGTACTGAGTCTTGTCCAATACATTTTAATTGATTGACTTTCTTTATTGACAAATCATTACCAATTATTATGTCATATTTACTTGAAGTTGACCTTAAGATATAAAATTTATGTAATATGATTGTGTCAGAAACTTCGAAATCAAGTAAAACAGATCCTAAAATTTTGACAGCTTGACCTTCACAAGTAATACTAACACCAGGGGTTATGTCAGATGGCAAGATTTCTGTAGTTGGTCTAATTTGATCTAACAGTGTCTCAGAGATAAAAGATATGCTTGTTCCTTTGTCAAAAAGGCTTTTAACAATATTATTACCTATAGTGACAGTCACAAAATCTTTGTTCAGGAAGGCTATAGCATTTTTATTGGTTTTCAAAGACTTGGTATTACTATCTAGTTCTTTTGAGTGAGAATAACCCATCTTAATGATTCTGACTTAGGTTGAAATCAACTAGTAAATAAGTCTATTGTCAAATAAAGAATTACAATTATTGTCACACACTAAATGTAAATTTTCGAGAATGGTACAAGAAATAGTTGATTTAACTTACCAAACTAATTCTCTGATCTCATATGAACCAAATCTAGGAATCCACTTGTATCTCCAATCTGTTCTTGAATGTCCTTGTTCAAACCATTAAATCTTCAGTTGTTCTCGCTTGGCATGTAAGAAGTTCCGAGTCTTGAATCCATCTTCCACCATTATATCACCGGCGTGTTTGGGGGGCTATTCTGGTTCGAATATGCACCCAGGTGATACATATGTACATATGTAATATTTCATACATATGGATGAGCTAGGATTGGGGGTGTATAGCTCATTACTGGAGAAGTATTCTGGTGAAGGCGGTCACTGTTCATTAAAAGTCCAATTCCAAATTCATTTCAATATTACTTTATATACAGTTTTAAAAATACATTATATACAAATTATATACAAGGCATTCGATCTCCTTGTCTGTGTGTCTCTAATTTCATCTGCCCTCTTGTCTGTGTGTAGAGGTCTTTTAAAGTAACTAATTTGTATACAGACAAAAGGACAATGATTTCAACAAATCAAATTAAAGATAAAAATATTGTAACACATCAAATGAAAAGAAGTTAAATAAATATATAAATTTCATTGGTTGAAAGTTTCATAGTGAAATATAATTTATAGGATCTAATAAGCTTTAAGCCATAAAGAATTAAAAAGCATTGACACTTGATTGGCATTGATCAGACTGCATTGTTAACTGTATAAATCTTTGCTCAAGGTTTCTCTTAATAAGCCTACTGGCATCCAAAGATTATAAAACAGTCAAAGCCAATCATGCTTTTATAGACTTTAAATCAAAATATTAACACTAAAAGTAAAGAAAGACCAAATGATAACCTTACTATTAGCTATATTGTCTATATACTTTAAGAAATAAATTCTGTATATCCTTAAAATAAAATTTGGAAAAGAAGTAGAATTTAGTATCACTATTCGGTGATAGCTATCTTAAAATTTTGTGGTTTAGTTAAAGGCTCAATACCACTCTTGTTGTAACTGAATAATATGTCCCAATCTTTATTCTGGTCAACAAATTGTACTAATTTACAATATTCCAATTAATGGATGATACAAATTTCATCTTAACACCCCTAATTTAAAAAATTGGAAAAATTCAACTAAATGATTTGAAAAACCTGACGTAAAGTTTTTCAAATGTGACTTGGATTTAAAAATATTTTTGAACCCTCTGGACAAGTAAAATAGGATTTAATGGATACTAACACATCTAGTACTTAGAATAAGGCTATTTTTAATTTTCTGGAATTGTCAAGCCAGCAAGAATGTTATTGTCCCTTTAACAGGAATAGAGATGAGAAGAACGAGGCAGAACAGATACAGGTAGACGAGAAGATAAAAAAAGCTTTTGATAGAACGCGGCCATTGCTCCGATGATGGTAATCTTTACGAGGAAAAGATTGTCACAACAATGAAAAGGCAAGAAATGAAATTAGGCTTAATGTCCTGGGCTTATTAAGACTGCCATATGCCATACAGTGTGGTGGTACTATGGCCTACTCTTATATTGAATTCCAACTGCCAATTGACCTTTTACGTGCACGCCAATGTATGCACAGGATCTTGTTTTTTTTGTCGCACCTGATCGACAAGACAGCCGTCCTTGTCACGCCCTCCGTCCTTCACCACTGATAAGGGTAAACCACGCCGGAAAATCCAGATGAACTTTCTCGACCTATGCAGGGATCGAACACGCGACCTCCTTCCTGTCTAGCGAGCCAGCGTCTTTATTTTTTATCTTACCCACTTAGCCACCATGGCTCTCCGAAACATACAGGAGCGAATTTACGAACAAGTGTACGTAGAAGTAAAACGGTGATTTATTTTGTGGAAGAGTTGCAAAATTGATTACAGATTACAGGAAACTAAAATTTTGTAATGTGGATTTGGTATCGTTTTACTATTATGTAAGAAAAGAAAATGTGAATTCAAAGAACTATATCAACCTTCGTTTTTTATCCGCGCCTCTCTTGCACGCGTACCAAGATGATAAATTGTGGAAACCCTTTCTCACTCTCTGGATAGCCATAACGTGGATGGATATGCTGTGGCGGTCTTCATTTAATTTTATGAATTGTTTTTATTGAATGAATGATGTTTTCAAAAGGTAATAAAATTAACTACCAAACGACTCGTTATCCCATCAGGTAGCACATGTTTGTGCGTAGAACGTTTGGCAGTTCAATTTTTGACTTTTTGTTTTTCAATCTTTAATAATTATTCTTTTAAAGTAAATAAAATAAAGTGCCAAACGAACGATTTGTTACTCAGTCGGGTAGCGCATTATTGCGTAGAATGTTTGGCATTGTATATTATACCATATAATATGTTATTACTATTTTCATCGTTATAATATTTTTTTAAAAATTGTTATAAAAGCTAATTTCTGAAAGGTAAAAATATATTCACATGACTATTCTGTGCTCATAATTTCAGCTTACATATTTGTCTCAGTAAAAGCAGTGGAAATATATTTACTTTGTTCTTTCTTAACCATTAGTTGTCATTCCAAATTGAATCCTAACAGATATCAAAAACCTAATAATCAAGAGGCTAAACTCGATTACCCAATCAACATTCTTAATCTCATGATATAACACCAAGGTGCTAATTAAGTGGTGAGATTAACAGAATTTATTCCCATAAAAGTTTAATATACAAGACCTACATTACTAATGTATGGACTATTCTCTTTCGTTCTGAATTATAACAACGAGAGAAATATTAAACAAAAATTAACAAATATATGGCAAGGTTGTTATGTGATTTTAGAACATAACGATATCTTTAACTTGCTTTTCCTCAAACAACCTCAAACGGATATAGCTCAGTCAATTTATAGTTTAATATTAGTTATCTTTTTAAATAAAGCAAACAAACTCCAGTTGCCTTGACACCAAAATATTTCCAATATGAACCCCCAATAGCTCAGTCAATTGTATAGTTTAATAATAATAATGTGAGTTTTTGTTGAGCGCTCATTCCATTACGTAAAGTAATGCTCATGGCGCATATTTGTCTCTCCACTATCAAACTGAGTCTATCTTAATACTTTAATCATAGGCTGTAAGAAATAGGTGTGTCTTTAACTGTGACTTAAAACATTCTAGACTTTTTGAGTTCCTAATGTTGTATGGTAATGAGTTCCACAATTTAATATCAGTTATCTTTTTAAATGAAGCAACCGAACTGCAATCGCCTTGACACGGACAATTCTTGAAATGGTCGGGTTGACGTTTGAATTATATGGGGGGGGGGGGGTATTTTTTTTTTTAATATGTTGCAAATCTGAAGATACCAATAATAGTGTATATATATATTCACCCGATTATTCACACGATTGTTCAGTGATCAGAATTTCAGCTTGTATGTATGCATTGGTTTGTGTATGAAATTCTTTATTTCTGTTATTTACTATCAAATTATTTCTCAAATGTAAATAGATATTCACACGATTCTTCGGTGCTCAGAATTTCAGCTTGTATGTATGTATATGAAATTCATTATTTCTGTTATCTGCTATCATATTATCTGTTTCAATAAAATTAGTGAAAACAGATTTGTGTTGATCTTTTTTTAACCATTAGTTGTGATTCCAAATTTAATCCATAGAATGATTCCAAATTTAATCCATACAGTGTTTCCAAATTTAATCCATACAGATATCAAAGTGCCGAAAGTCCCAAAACATGTGCCAATCCGCATGTTATATAACGAGAATAAATATAAATTGTAAATTAAATAACACTACACATTGCGCCGTATTCTGCAGACTACGGCGGTAATCGAAATCGCCGATAAATATTCCTATTGTTGACTGCCATCCATTATTGTTTAAAAACATTTCCCGATTCGAGAATATTAGTAAATAATTAATTAATAATTTATTCAGAATGTAGTGACGATTTCACGCTCTACTGGCGTTGGGTCCAGTTACTGACGCACATCAAAGATAACTGGCGGTTTGACTCTGATAGTGACCCAGGGTTCAAATAGTGACGGTTTCTTAATTAGTCACGCTTTTGTCAATTTCTCCCGCACGCGCCTGACTAGTGATATGGTCGGCTTAACTCACGTTTGTTTAATTACTCACGTTATTTTTACATACTGACACAAGTAAGGAATACTAACCAACTGACTTAAATACTCACCTTATGATTATTACTGACCATTTATAGGAATACTGACGTACGGTACAAATACTGACGGGTTTAAGCGACTACTGACAACATGTATATTTCTCACGAGTTTCCATGAATAGTAACCACAATTAATCATTTCTACTTCATATATAGATATTCTAACACATAGGCCAGTTAGTCAATACTTAGAGATAGGTTCTACACACTATGCACCCAGCAGTGTTATGGTCTGGATAAGTTAATTAATGTCTAATTGATAATTTAGATAACATTTCAGGCCTAAAGAAAGATTTGTAATAAGCAGATTTTGCTCTTGCATAATGCATGTTTAAATAGTGACTTTGCCAGACGCTGTAGAAATTCTGAAAATAAAAGTGAATAGTTCATTTGTTCCACATTTTGCCACCTGGTGGTGTGAAAAGTATACATTAGACAATGAGCGTGATGCTAAATTCGTTTTCAACACCAAAAGTTGTCTTCTATTACAAAGTTAGAGAGTTCCACACCTATTTAGAAATTTGCGTTTAAAGCACTCGAAAACCTGAAAAATTTACTGAATTTATGATCCGTTTCAGTACTCTAATTTCAAATGGCCGTATATTGGCGAGTTTTCGATCTAGAGATGTATAAATTTCGGATTTGTTAGTTTAGGGTCATATATGTAGTAATACCAGAATTCTTTGTTGTGTTTTCTTCGTGATCGTAATATAAAACTACAGGTTAAATTGTATCTACGGCTTTATTACTGAACTGCTTGCAAGGCTTCTATGTGTAATCTAGTAGTTTACTTCCATAAAATCAGGAACAACTACTGTATATAATATAATCTGGATATGAATTTATTTGACCAGCAACAACATTAAAATCAATTTATAGCTAAAAGGAAATGAACAAGACGATCTGCATTCTTTATGATAAAATAATATGTACTCTATATGAAACTTGGGTTTAATTTATATAACTTAGTTGTTGAGTCACTAATTTCCAATAGTTTTTAAGGTAAACAAAATATTGCTACTAGTGACTTATATTAAATAAAAATATGTTAATTTATAAGACGACAATACATAAAGGTGTAGAAGTAGCTTAAAGATACATTATGGGAGATTCGATAACGAGTTGGTAGTTCTCACTATAATAATTAAAGATAGGTTGCCAGGCAACGAAACATACGCCCACAGCAGCTAAATCATCCGGGCAGTCAACAAGAGTTGTCGCATATTTTTACTTTTTTCGGTAATGAAACATTTATAATACACTAAAATCTGATTAAGAGCAACAACTGAGAAAACCATTAGAATTTGTTTGGTTTTTATAAAGTTCTACCCCATGCTAACGTTTTGTATACAAAACTTTTAATATCATGGATTTAGCTGTTCCAAGTCATAAAAACTCATTGAAAATCAATATACTTGTTCCTCTCAAGATCTTAAACTTTGTGTATCAATCTGAAGTCAATCGGATGATAACTTTAGCCTTTAGAGCGTCACAAGATTTTTCAAAGTGATCAAGGGCCATAACTTTGGCAGTAATTAACGGAAATCGCTGAAAATCAATAGGCTTCTTCGTCTCATGATCTTAAACACTGTGTATAAATTTAAAGTCAATCGGA